GATCATGTCGACTTGCCGACGAATTTTACTCACGGAGTTATCCAGCAACACGGAGGAGAGAAATCTGATGACGTAACCGGGTTGAAATATCCGGGTCATCAACATATGCATTAGTGGTATCTTTATTCAGATCTTACTGTTAAGTTTCATGGCCTTCCAACTCAAAACCAATTGGCAATGAGTGGATTGGCCCAAGTTCCTTATATACTACTCAAGTCCTTTCCCATCTTTCTAATGTGGGATCTTTCTCCACACGCCCCCTCGAGATAATGGCTCTTCTAGCCATTAATCTCGACAGAATCCATCACGCCGCATCGAGATAATGCTCTACTAGTTCTCTCAACAGAATTGAGCCTTCCTTTGGGCTATCAATTAGTGGGGGTGATCGAGCCACTTTCATGGCAGGATTAATGGGTCAGCGCGTATGGATCGGGCTCTGATACCATGTTATGTTTCATGGGCTTCCAACTCAAAACCAATTGGCAATGAGTGGATTAGCCCAAGTCCCTTATATACTACTCAAGTCTCTTCCCATCTTTCCAATGTGGGATCGTTCTCCACACTTACCCGACCCGAAATTGAACGGGTCGGGTCTCCGATTGTCAGGGTTTTTGACCCTGCTGAGGCAGATTTGTTCTTTGTTGCGGCTTTCTCCTCTCTAAGCTTGATTGTGAATTCGGATCGACCCGAGTTTGGATCCGGGTTTGGGTATAGTGAGGAGGTGATGCAGGAGAGTTTGGTGAGTTGGTTGGAAGGTCAAGAGTGGTGTAGGAGGAACAATGGGAGGGATCATGTGATTGTTGCGGGTGACCCGAATGCGTTGAACCGGGTTATGGATCGGGTTAAGAATGCGGTTTTGCTTGTGACGGATTTAGGTTGGTTTAGAGCTGACCAAGGGTCCCTTGTGAAAGACGTAATAATACCTTATTCTCATAGGGTTGATGCTTATGAAGGCGAGCTTGGAGTTAAGCAGAGGAACAACTTGTTGTTCTTTATGGGAAACTGATATCGCAAAGATGTAAGATTTAACTAATGATCTCTATTATTCGTGATCTTGAATTAGTAAAGGAGTTTTTGAAGTCAAGTACTTTTGAGTAAGATACAGAGAAACCAGCCATAATTTACTAGGTAGTGTTCTTGTTTATGGATTGGCATTGAATGTCAAATATGTTAAATTGTGAGAGATTATCGAAAAACTGCAGAAAGGCGGAAACTTTGCAGATGCTGATTTTGACTCTATGTGCTTTGTTGTGTTTGTTTGACAGGGAGGCAGAGTCCGAGATTTGCTTTTCAAGCTTCTTGAGAACGAAGAGGATGTTGTTATCAAACACGGAACACAATCAAGAGAGAATAGGCGTGCGGCTAAACAAGGAATGCATACGTCTAAGTTTTGTCTACATTCAGCTGGTGATACTCATTCAGCTTGCAGATTATTTGATGCCCTTGCCAGTTTATGTGTCCCTGTGATTGTAAGCGATGGCATTGAGCTACCTTTTGAAGATGTTATAGATTACAGAAAGTTTTCTATATTCTTGAGGATGCCGCTTTGAAACCGGGGTTTGTGGTTAAGAAGCTGAGAAAAGTGAAACCAGAAAAGATATTAAAGTACCAAAAGGCTATGAAAGAGGTAAGAAGAGTTTCTTGATTTGTCTTCTGAAAGTTCCTTTGGATCTATTGAAAAAAAATGTCAACTTTATGGACTTGATTTGTGTAGGTTAGGCGATATTTTGACTATACGCATCCAAATGGAAGTGTGAATGAGATCTGGAGACAAGTTACCAAGAAGATACCACTAATCAAACTGATGATTAATCGGGAGAAGCGCATGATCAAGAGAGAAGGAAGTGACCTTCAATGTTCTTGTTTATGCTTAAACCAAACCGGGATCATCCATGGTGTTTAGTAATGTTAAAAGCATATGGAAAAGCTGAATGTGTGCATATCAATAACGAATCAAGAACCAAGTTTGAAGCTTGTACAGTGATTTGTTCAGATCTCTTGGAACCCGCAGAGGATGGATTAGCAAGAGAGAAGCAAGCAAGCTCACGCCAAGCAACAAAATGTGATCATAATTAATGATGAATCAAAGACTGGAAAGGTAAAGAAATTGTTGTTGAAGACTTTGTTGTCTCATTTAGTCCTTATAAATATAACTAGAACCATTCTTTGTTCTTCTTTTTTTCCCAAATACATGACTCAGTACGCCTTTCTAAGTCTTTCTTTTATATATAGGAACAACAAGAGAAACCACATCACTCTCTAATTCCGGGTCACGGGGTGGAAGAATGCGCATTTCCTGGTGGAGTTGACTTTAGAGAGTATTAAAGATCAATAGAGAGATTCAAGCAAAGAGAGGTGCATATCATCTTTTAATTTGCTTATACTCAAAGACCACACAAGGTGATCAAATCAACCATTTCCATTAATAGCTAACCGATGAAAGAAGCAAAAGACTTTTAGGAAAACGA